TATTGATCATGTTCGTGATTTAAAGTCACCAAAGCAAGTATGGGAAACCCTTCAAAAGTTGTTCACCAAGAAAAATACAGCTCGATTGCAATTTCTAGAGAATGAATTGGCTGTGGTAACTCAAGGTAATTTTTTTGTTGAAGAATATTTTTTGAAAGTGAAAAATTTGTGCTCTGAAATTTCAGAATTAGATGCTAAGGAACCAGTGAGTGAGGCTCGATTACGGCGTTATCTTACTCGTGGATTACGGAAAGAGTTTATGCCCTTTGTTTCCTCAATACAAGGGTGGGCAAATCAACCTACAGTAATTGAACTGGAGAATCTTCTTTCCAATCAGGAAGCCTTGATTAAGCAAATGACCAGCAACAACGAATTTTCCCGAAAGTCAGAAAATGTGTTGTATGTCAAAGATCAAAGGAGACAAAATTTTCATTCAAAGCCTTCATCTAGCAATGGGAATCAATTCAGAAATGAGGAGTCGTCAAAGAAGTCATTTAAAGCTTGTTACAGGTGTGGAAAATCAAGCCACTTTAAACGAGATTGTCAGGCGAAAGTGGTGTGTGATCGTTGCGGAAAGTCAGGTCATATTAAGCCAAATTGCCGAGTCAAAATGCAAGAATCAGCAGCAAATGCTGTACATGAAAGTTTTTCAGATTCAATTTGGGAATACTGCTTAACCACCGGGGTTCTTGATCAGCCAACAAATGTGACTTCAGCCATATATCAAGATGATGTCTCTACAGGTGATCAAAATTCTAATTCCACTACTTATGCTTCTGAATTTGATTCTCTCCAAATTTTGCCTCTGCACTCTTTTTTTTACTCCGATGCCAATTCTGTTGCCCCTGGTGACCCTTCTGTTTATTTCACGACCTTGGATTTGGGATTCGACGAAAATAAAGATTTCGAACTAACCTTTGACGATCTTGACGCCTCTGAGGCTGACGTTTTTCTCATCTCCGAAGATTTGGATCAAACTACCAATTTGTTAGACTTGCAGGCTGACCGGGGAGCTTCTGGGGGCGCTGCTGAAAGTGAGAATCTAGACCAAGTTCAGAAAGGCAATGTTGTGGTAGAGGCTGAGTTGTTGGATAAGAGCATGGATGTGGCTAAAGAGAGAGAAGCTTGCAGGGATGATGCTGGTTTATCAGAAAGTCGGAATGTATCGATTGATTTGGGGAATTGTACTAAGAATGAACGTGATGTTGTGGCTGACGAAGGTGACAAATTGGAAGACAATTTGGTTGGTGAAAGAGAACAAGGTAATGGGATGGATGACAAGAACTCGTTAGAATCTTCAGTTCAATTGGATGACGAGTGCAAGGAAAGCAAGGGCCTCGATCAAGAAGTGAAAACTAGGAATTTTGATGTATCAGATAAAGAGGTAGAAAAAGAAATGTCATATGGAGAGACAACAAAAACTACCAAAACACTGACTCAAAATTTTAGAGATAAAGGTATGAGGGTGGCAGAAACTTTAAAAAATAAAAAGAAAAAGAAGAGTGAAAGGACTACTCAAGAAGAAGATGATTTGGATAAGATTCTTGCTAAGCTAGGAGGGTGGCCTATTATATCAAAACCAGCCGACCCTCCTCTTTCTTCACAAGAGGCCAAAGTTGAGAACCCACCTGACCTTGTAACTCCTCCTGATGCATAGTTGAAAAGGAAGCTGAAGAAGAGAGCACAGAAACGACGGTTGCTAGGAAGAAGAAAAAACGTAGGCAAAAGAAAAGAGAAAAAGAGAAGCTGCTAAAGAACAAACAAGAAAGCAAGCTGTTAACAAGGAAACAAAGTGCAGTTTGAATTTTTTCGCTCTCCGAGTTATTAAGAAATAAGTTTGCACCAAGGGAGGCTGTCAAAATTAGTGCAACTCATTTTAGATAGAATTAGTAAGTTGTTAAGCCATTCATCCTTATTAGGAGGAATAGTTTATTTTAGTAGAGTTTTTGTAGGAGCTATTTATAGAATTTATTTGGGTTTAAATAGGAGCCCTCCCCTTAGTAAAACACAAGGTATAGTAAACAGTTCATTATTTCAATTGTCCATGTATTACCCTCTTTGAGTAATAATAGTTTCATATTTATTCACACCTTTCAGCGTGAGATATTGTGACAATCAGTGGGGCGAATGCGCCCGAGAAAGTCATCGAGGACGATGACTTAATTAAGTAGAGGAGAATGTCACAATCTGCAATATGATTGTGACCCGAGTAAGTCATCGAGGACGATGACTAAGTTAAGTGGGGGAGAATGTCACAACCATACTATGAAGAGAGTAGGTTGTGACTCTCACGCCATGACAAGCAAAGTGGCGTCCCTCAAGAGACGCCCATCTGGCCATATGCGGGTCAAGAAAGAAGAGTGTCATGATGTGATCGAGGAGGACGATGCATCATCCAACACACCACCACGCAAAGTGGGCATTGAAGACATGTTGAGACACAAGCAAGACAGAGACATCAGAATAGACATGAAGGGCAAAGATAGGCTTGTTGAAGGGCCGAGTAGGGCCCCGACCCTTAACCTCAAATGTCGGGGTTTAGGAAGGAATTTGGGCATCGGTTTGGGAGTTAAGTCCGTCCATATGAAATATGAATGCTCGCCAAGTTTGGTGTCAATCAGACATCAGACGGACAATGCCTACACCTGGTAGAATGGAAATGGCTCAAGATGTACAATAGGGGTACCATGGTGTCAGCTCTCCACCACCTCTAGGCCCTGTGGCCTAAGTGAGCTACCCTGTGGCACATACGTGTGTCACAGTGTGGGCGACTTCCTTTGAAATGGGTTTTTTCAGGACAGTACCGAACGGCACGGGTGTGCCAATATTGCGCCCTAGCCCGCGTGTTGGAGGTTGCTACATACACCCGCTATCCGGTACGGTATCTGTAAATGACTCGACATGGGCACAGGAGGGCCTATGCCTCGATAGAACCCGGATGGATGGATGTTTGGGAAGTCCCGATGAGATGAACGACACAAAGGCCCATTCTCGATGGCATGACCGGATGAGTTATGATGGCTGACGACATCCCGAGACTCGGGATGGCGTCAAGACATATAGACCCTATTGATGGGGATCGAGATGACAAGATAAGATGCGATGTTGTATTGAGAGATCTTGGCCCAGTGGTTAAGCAGTATTCCCAACTTGGATCTGAAGAACTTTCATGTACAACACTTGCTTTAGATTCTTGCATTTTGACTTGGCAATTTGGCTTAATATGGCCTGACTTTCCGCAACGATCATACACCACTTTCGCCTGACAATCTCGTTTAAAGTGGTCTGGTTTTTCCCACCTGTAACAAGCTTTAAATGACTTCTTTGACGACTCCTCACTTCTGAATTGATTCCCATTGCTAGATGAAGGCTTTGAATGAAAATTTTGTCTCCTTTGATCTTTGACATACAATACATTTTCTGACTTTCGGGAAAACTCGTTGCTGCTGGTCATTTGCTTAATCAAGGCTTCCTGATTGGAAAGAAGATTCTCCAGTTCAATTACTGTAGGTTGATTTGCCCACCCTTGTATTGAGGAAACAAAGGGCATAAACTCTTTCCGTAATCCACGAGTAAGATAATGTCGTAATTGAGCCTCACTCACTGGTTCCTCAGCATCTAATTCTAAAATTTCAGAGCACAGATTTTTCACTTTCAAAAAATATTCTTCAACAGAAAAATTACCTTGAGTTACCACAGCCAATTCATTCTCTAGAAATTGCAATCGAGCTGTATTTTTCTTGGTGAACAACTTTTGAAGGGTTTCCCATACCTGCTTTGGTGACTTTAAATCACGAACATGATCAATATATTCCTTGCTAATAAGAGTTCGCAAGGTGAATAAGGCTTTTCCACACTTGATTTTCCATTTTCGACATAATTCAGCATTTTGTGGAGTGTCGGCTGGAATTTCTGTGTCATCACTTTCGATTAAATCCCACAAATCTTGTCCCTATAGATAACCTTCCATGCATAACTTCCAATAATTATAGTTATTGCCAACCATCTTTTCCATAGCTATACCCATAGAAGCACTTCCACCATTCATCTCGTTGAGTAATAATATCAAACCGTACCAACTTGGCTCTGATACCAACTGTCACAATATCTCACGCTCAAAGGTGTGAATAAATATGAAACTATTATTACTCAAAAAGGGTAATACAGGGACAATTGAAATAATGAACGGTTTACTATGCCTTGTGTTTTACTAAGCGGAGGGCTCCTATTTAAACAAAAATAAATCCGATAAATAGCTCCTACAAAAACTTTACTGAAATAAACTAGTCCTCCTAATAAGGATGAATGGCTTAACAACTTACTAATTCCATCTAAAATAAGTTGCACTAATTTTGACAAGATTGTTGAGGATTATTGGGAGTGAGTCCTACATTGGTTAATTTAGTGGAAGATCATGGTTTATAAGTGAGGAATATTATCTTCATTGGTATGAGGCTATTTGGGAAAGCCCAAAGCAAAGTCATGAGAGCTTACACTCAAAGTGGACAATATCATACTGTGGAGAGTCATGATTACTAACATGGTATCAGAGTCATGCCCTAAACTTAACCATGTCAATCGAATCCTCAAATATCGAACAAAGAATTGTGAGCCTCGAAGGTGTAGTCAAAAAGTGACTAAAGTGTCGAATAAAGGGTGTACTTTGTTCGAGGGCTCCAAAGAAAGGATTCGAGCCTCGATTAAAGGGGAGGCTATTCGAGAACTCCATAACCCTCAGCAGAGGCTTATAGTGTACTTTGTCTGAGGAGGAGGATTGTTGAGGATTATTGGGAGTGAGTTTCACATTGGTTAATTTACTGGAAGATCATGGGTTTATAAGTGAGGAATATTATCTTCATTGGTATGAGGCCATTTGAGAAAGCCCAAAGCAAAGCCATGAGATCTTACACTCAAAGTGGACAATATATTCCATTGTGGAGAGTCATGATTACTGATGGTGTAATTTGTTTTCGGATTGATTATAGATTATGGTTTTAATCCGAAGTTTCATTTAGTTCCCAAATTTTCTGTGGCCAAATTTCGGCTAGGGAAAAGACTGAGAGTTACCTTGTGGAATTTTTCTCCATTTTTTATTTTATTTATTCTTTTCTTCGTATTTACTCTATACATATTGGGTTTGATTTTCTTGTCCTCTGCGCTTTTTATTAAGCATTTTCGAAATGTGTTTGTTTATCTTGTGTCATGTTTTATCTATCTTGAGTGTACATTGATCTTTTTACCGATCGAATCAGTGCTATCTAATTAAAACAGGTGTATTTACTTCTGCTCTGTTGATAACTTTAATTTTGACAGAGGAGAGGAGTAGATATTGTATTGCATAATTTTAAACAACTTCCTATAAGAGAGCCTCTTTGCTTGTATGTATTTGGACAGGCTGCGAAAATTCTTGCCAATTTAATTGTGATGGGCTCTGGGATACTTGCTAGGGCCTTTGTTCAAGCCTATCGTCAAGCCCTTACGAGTAAGTACACTTTTTATTCCACCCCTGGGTTTTTATCTCTATCGGAAGTTGGCCAGATTGTCCTCAATATTATTGTTATTGGTGTCAATTGTTTTTGGATGGCTTGATTGAAACTTGATATGTAGAACAAAAGAAATTTGCACCTTATCTTTGAACTATTAGAAGCTTTAATGTAAATGGGGTAAGTTTGGAAACAAGCATTTTGCCAATAAGAACAAAGCTCTGCGTGCACATAGATAAATTCTGCTTCGGTGATATTCAAATAGACATCAAAGATTTTTTTTATTTTTAATGGGCTTGGGGATGTTATCATCCTGAATTTCTATATTTTTTTTTTTTTTTTTTT